CACACCCATTCACCTCGGAAAACCGCGGTGATTTGCGACTAAAACTTACCAATTTTCAACCGAATATCAATAATCTTGCTGCTTCTCTTCAGACACATCCATCTCACTAATATCAACTATTTTAATAAAAAGGTATGTTAACATATTTTTAACGCATTCAATAGTAGTCGCAAAATGACAGTAAGAGGTTTTATTAATCCAATATAACTTATGTTTTCAAAACTAATTGTGTATTTTACGTATTATGACACGTACGATTTAAGAACTATAGGCAAATTTCCATCTATCCATAATTTTGCTATTATTTTTTAAGATTATAAATTAGTGGAAAATATCTCCTTTTTCTGTTAAAGTTATCAGGTGGATTTTATAAGAAATGGGAACTATAAATTCTTTTGTTGGGTTGTTATGCAGGTCTCCTTATCGCTTAACATCAGAAATGCAAAAATGATTTAATGTTTTTGTTAAATACATAATCTGGGGTTCGATAAGAAGGCAAATATTCTATAAAGGGGTCGAAGGGATAAAAAGTTTGGGGACCCCTAGTTCTTTTACTTATTTGCATATATCTCTCACAATGACTGATCTTGCAATTTGCAGGAGGCTACAGACATTCCTTCGTGATGTTGCAATTTCATTTTTGAGAAGTATAACTTAACTGTTAAATGTGCTTGCTATGAAAATTTTGGCACTTGTTCATATTTTACTTATTACAAATCAAACTTGTGGATTTTGATTTCCGATATTAGTGAGATTGCAGCTGAAGTTTTCAATGCGAAAATGTGAACGTTGGATGTTCAGTGCTGCCTTTCTGAAAGCCTAGAAGTTTGACAATGGCATTTGGAACGTCAGTGGAATCATGCTCGACATTCCAAATGCCATTGTCAAACATCTAGGCAGCACTGAACGCACAATGTTCACATTTTTGCATTGAAAACTTCAGCTGCAACCTTGCTATTGTTAGAATTCTAACAGTCACAACTGATAATGGTTTCTACATAATGTTCATGAGTTAGTCATTTTAATGAATAAAGCATACTTACACTCAAAATATTAAATATTTATTATTTAATAAAACATTTTAATATTGAAAATTTTAATTACACTTATTAACAATGAGTCAATCTGAAAATAAAAATTTATCATCATTTCTTTTATATTATAAAGAATTTAGCATCTTTCAATCTTAATTAAAATATTTTGGACCAATTCATAAGTTAATATCTGTGATATAAAACAAAAAATTTAACATTTGTTTAAATCCAATTCAGAAATGTACAATTTATACAAATTTACATCAGAAATAATTCCTGTTAAAATTAATTAAAACTTAATACTCAATTCAATAAATTTCAGTAAAATGAATAGTAATTACCTAAGAATATGTACAACATAATTTTTGTTAACACTGTATTGACCAATAGTGTATAATATGATACCATATTTACTTGCATATAAGATATAGGACGAGGTGTGACTTTAAAGATCAAAATAAAGAGAATTAGATTTATTAATACAATTCTAATATTATTTTGTTTAATCACAAGTAAAATATCAAATGAATGTAAATGCACACATTGTCCCACAAAAATTACTGGCATTTTAAACTTCAAGGGAAAATCTTGTAAAATCGATAACATAATTTGTTAATGTGAAGCTGGACAATCAAAAACCTTTTAATGCCAATTCTTAACAGTCGAACCCACTTGATTTTTTGATTACACTTATGAGTTTTGCTAAATTTTGATTTCCGAATAATCATCTGTTTTCATGTGGGAATGGATTAAAACTTATATTGTGCTCCCATGTGAATTTCAATCTGGAATTCAATTCAAAAGCTTTGTTTTTCCTATTGCTATTCATTTTTACTCCTGACAATATACAAGAACGATTCAAATGATCCAGATAAAATAATTGTTTTTAAATACAAGAGGGTAAGCATCTGGTAAAAAATGCAAATACATGGTTCACAAAAATTATTTGCAAAAACGCAAGGAATCTTTGCTCACACATAGGAAAACCTAGGAATTTGAACCTAATATGATAAATGAATAAAAATGTCATCTTATATACGTGTAAATATGGTATATTTTTTTCATATATTGTATAACTTTAACATTGCACAAATTTTATTATACAGTTTTTATTTTCTTCAAAATATCTATCAAAACAATACTGGAAGAAACAATGGAAGCTTTTCCAAATCAAAAAATAATAACAATATACTTATGCATATATACAATAATTTTTAATTAGTGCATTTTAAAATACATCTTCATCGCTATATATTTTGCACTCTTTTTTTAAGTCAAATTTGCGTTGAAATTTTTATACTGGCATTATTTACTTGTAAAAAATATTGCCAGGATGGAATGTATAAATTCAAATAATCTCATATATGTTTGGACTTATGCTGTTATGTTCTTCGACATGAAGAAAATAGGATACACCTGAAAAGACAATAAGTAAATTGATTTATACACATGTGTAAAAAAGTTTTCTTTTAACATATTACCTCTAAGTATACTCACATGCTAATTATAGTAATTTGAAATCTATTATCATCTTTGCAATTCTACAGCTTTGGCCAATATTTTGTGAATGTCCATGTCAGGAAAATTCTATAAAAGAAAAATCAATATTTCAATATAATATTCTCATTTTAATTATTACCTGAGAATTGAGATAGATTACACCAATCGATAGAATAACTGTCCAAGTTTCATCTCCCATCTGCATTCATAATGTCTGTTGTCTACTACATCTAGGAAGTGGTGTAAATGAAATGGCAACTTTGCAATAGAGAAGTTCTTTTGTGAAGGTGAAAACCAATCCTAAGAAGTCAAAATCACTCATTATTGTTCAACAAGAATAATCTGCAAGAGCTGCAGGTACTTTGGAATTGTGGCTACTGTGGGAGAAGTGACAATGGATATGCCATATATACATACATGAAAGCCATACACATGGTGTTTAGCTGATGGAAAAGAGGGTAAGGGAAAGGGAGAAGGAACAGGGAGAAGAGATAGACAGTAGAGAAAAATATGATCCCTCTGAATGGCATATGTATGGCTACTGTACCCTCTGTGTTTGATGTTGTGTACAGTTTTTAGGCTGCAAGGCCATAATCTTCTGAAGGGTTTAAAAGAAAACCCGAGTGTAGCGAACACCAATATTGAGTGCCGCCACAAATAGCTAAGTGTAGAAGTTAGTGCCAAGTGCCTGTTAGTAGGAAGATTTATATCTACTTAATACAGTAGACCCCCCTATAACATGGGTTCCTATAGTTCGGATTCCTATATGACTGCGAAAAAATTGAGATGGTATCCGTACAAACATGGTAAAAAAACTCCTATAATTCGGTAAAACGTCATCGGACAGCCGAACTACTTTCCACCATCCAGCACCACGCTACGGAGAGTTTAGGTGGGTAAATTGAGTTTAATATCGTCTGTACAGTATTATATATAAATTATATATAAATTAGGCACTGTACATATAATTATATATTAATTATATATAAATTAGGTACTATATATATAATTATATATTAACTTAATTTATTGTAACTTTATTATAATTATAATATACTTTCTGCCGTCCAGCGCTATGCTACGGAGAGTTTAAGCGAGTAAGTTGAGTTTACTATTGTCTGTACAGTATGTAAATTAGGTACCGTAAGTCTAATACAGCACTGTAATTTTATACATTTCTTGTGAAAAAAACATTTCTTATTCAACGGCCATAAAAATTATTTATAGTAATGATGTCTCCAAAGTTCAACAAAGTTTTTGCAGAAAAATAACTTATCAGAAATTGTGCCTGCCATTTGGTGCAGTGCTCCGCGACGAAAACAAGCTTAAGCAATGGCGACATCAAACAGTGCACACTCGGTAAGTAATCCTACAATTTTTTGTTTATAGCATAGTTTATATGGATTATTCCCAAAAAAATATACGTATTTTGGAAATGTTGAGTCGAATTAGTCTAGGAATTGATTAATTTTATAGAAGAAAACCTTTCAAACAGCCGTAGTCCGTAAACTTCACGTGTCGGGCTGTGATTGGCAAGGACTCGTACAAAATGGATTCATAAAGAACGGAACGTATCTACCGTGTTATAGGGGGGTCGACTGTACTAATAAAACCAAACGCGAGCACAAGCAGATATGCATAACAGTCGTGGGAAGAATTCGAGTGTCAGCTGGATGTGTGTACCTCCTTGTGCTGTATGACATGAGGAGATACAGAAGTTGTAATGAGAAAATATGAAACTTGGGCAGTTTTCGAATGTTTTAATGTACATTTCAACATTCTCGAATAATAATTAACATAATTACATTATTTTTGGAAGCTCCTGTATATATGTGTATACACACACACACACATATATATATATATATGACTATAACCGGTCATTCGTTCGATTCTTT